AGCGCTAATTAAGGCAAAACAATGGTTCCACGATATTCTGTCCTTGTTAAAAGATAGGTTATGAATTACACATTGAAGGAGCCACAAAAGGATAAAGAAGCCATTCAAAGGTTTTCTATGTGATTCTTAGTGAGAGGCGATCTCTTGTTCAAAAAGTCTTTCGATGACATCATTCTATGGTGTTTTGATCAGCCAGAAATCGACCAAGTACTGACAGAGTTACACAATGAAGGATGTCATTTTGGCGCAGCCGCCTTAGCTCTGAAAATCAGGCGCCAAGGCTATTACTTGACCACTATGGTTGAAGATTGTTGAAAGTTTGTAAAGAGGTGTCCCAAATGTCACCTTTATGGAGACCTCATCCATGCACCGTCCATACCACTCAACTCAACATCGCATGTATGGCCCTTTGCCATGGGGTCTTGATATCATCGGAATGATCTCACCAAATCGGTAAAGGCTGCATCTTTTGTCAAAATTGAGGGACAACATGTTGCCCATTTCATAAAGAACAATATTGTATTTAGGTTCGGTGTTCCTGAGTCAATCATTACTGACAATAAATCCAATCTAAAAAATGAAAAAGTCTCTAAAGTGTGCAAAAAGTTTGGGATAACGCAGAAATTCTCTACACCTTACTACCCTCAAGGAAATGGACAGACAGAGGCTATAGACAAAGGACTTCTCAGAATTATAAATAAAATAATAGAAGGTGACAAAGATTGGCACGAAAAGCTAAATGACGTACTATGGGCCTACCGATCAACTCAGAAGACTCCTACTGACATGACCCCATATTCATTAGTGTATGGTATGGAAGCAGTGTTACCTATGGAAGTTGAGATACCATTTCTCCGAACATTTATTCATAAAGATTTAGATGAGGAACAAAAGATCGAAGCACGAATTGCTGCCATCGTTAATTTGGATGAAAGACGACTACGAGCAACACAAAATACTGTTGCTTACCAACGTAGAATCGAGGGGGCATACCAAAGTAAAGTTCTTCCTCGACAATTCAGGGAAGGGGACATGTTACTCAAGAAAATCTTCCACACTCCTAAAAACCCACACCCCTTAGGCAAGTTCAAACCTAATTGGGAGGGGCCATTCGTGGTCACCCGAGTGCACCTAGGCAATGCTTACAAGATCAAGAATCAGGAGGGGTGCGAGCTCAATGACCCCATCAATGAGAAATATATCTTAAAATACTACCCGTAACGAACTCAAATGAGTGGTGAAAACCTGAAAAGGCATCAAAACAAAAATAAAAATGAATGTGGTGAAAACCTAAAAAGGCATCACGGGTAAAAAAAAAAAAAAAAAATCTCCAAGAAGGAGCTTCTGATTAAAAAACACTTAAGTATAAATAAGTACTTGCAAGCTTCAACAATACGGCACAAGCAGACTCTGAGGAAGAAGACTCCTCCTAAACCCTGTAGGTTCCCCACATAACCAACTCAGAAAGATGTGGGAGTGTGATATGAATAGAAAACCAAAGTGACTTCGACGAATCTTGAAAGAACATCGGGACGTCTCCAAGATGGAAGCTCAACAAGAATCCAAAGAGCTCTTCATGGACCCACGAAGCACATGATGAAAACTCCAAAAGTAAAAAGACAACTTCGAGACTTTTGAGTTCTCGCAATCCCACAAGGAAATCCTTTCATCATCTTTGAGTAAAATATAATAAGAGAATGACCACCAAAGGGGCCACATGTGGCAAAACTGTAAGGCCCGTCCCTTTTAAAAGCGTTTTTTCAATCTGATTGTTAAAACCCTCCTTTTCCAAAACCCTTTTAGAAAGGACTTCCTCCATCACTACAAGAGGTTAAACTGTTAGTCGATCTGGCCTCGTTCTCGAAGCCAACTTCCTACGCCTGTTATGAAGGCTTGAAACTAGCCAAGCACTCTATAGTTGAATGAGTATAATTACCAACTACCACATATCAAAGATATGTGAATCTCGCCAATGACTCTATTGGCTAGTCCGGGAGCGTTTTTCTCTCGACAGGATCCCCTGAGGTGAAATGAGGCAAGCTCATCCTCATGTGTGCGTACGATGTCCCAAAGTCCAATTTAGAAAACGTCAAACTCGTGCGACGTAAAAGAGTCAAGATAGGATAAATGTCAAACTCGTGTGATGTAAAAGAGCCGAGACAGGATAAACGTCAAACTCGTACGACGTAAACGAGCCGAGATAGGATAAGTGTCAAACTCGTGCGACATTAAAGAGATGAGACAAAATAAATGTCAAACTCGTGCGACATAAAAGAGCCGAGACAGGATAACCGTCAAACTCGTGTGAAGTTAAAGAATCGAGACAGGATAAACGTCAAACTCGTGCGCGATAAAAGAGTCGAGACATGAAAAAAAAAAAACGAGTCAAACTCATGCGACGTTAAAAAGCCGAGACAGAAAAAATGTCAAACTCTTGCGATGTTAAAGAGATGAGACAGGAAAAACATCAAACTCGTGTGACATAAAAGAGCCGAGACATGGACCGTCCAGTCCCGTATGACAAGAAAGGTCGGGTGTATCCAGGGCACAACCATCATGTTCAATGGAAAAATATCAAACTCGTGCAACGTAAAAGAGCCGAGACAGGTATCGTCTAACCCCATATGACGTGAAAGGTTGGGTGTATCCGGGGCACAACCACCCTGTTTCAATGAAAAAATATCTAACTCGTGCAACGTTAAAGAGCCGAGGAAAGTACCGTCTATCCCCGTATGACGTGAAAGGTCAGGTGTATCTAGGGTACCACCACCTTGTTCGATGGAAAAACGTCAAAATCATGCGACGTGAAATAGTCGAGGCAGGTACCGTCTAGCCCCGTATGGCGTAAAAAGGTTGGGTGTATCCAAGGCACAACCACCCTGTTCGATGGATTGCGTCTATCCCTGTATTGACGTAAAAGGGTCAGGTGTATGCCCATCACTGCATGACGCTAAACTGCTTAGAAGGCTCTATGGTTGCAGAAGTTAAAACTGCTAACCAACCTTGTTTTTTGAAATATCTTTCTCTTTTCAAAATTTTTACTATATTTATTTTGTTTTCCAAAAACTTTAATTTCTTTGTTAAAAGCGTAACCTGTACTTGGTCCGGGTTCTATTTCAAATCTCCTCCTACTTTCAAAAATTCTAAAAAAAGTCTTAAAAAAAACGAAAGATCTTGGAAAGCCGTATATGATGATTATCGCATTGCGGCATTGCTGCCTCGTCTATCACTTCAGATTCAGCCAGACAAGTCTCTTCCTATAGAAAGCCTTTTCCTATAGACAACCTTAGGAAACTCTAAGGAGATCAAAGAAAATGCCAGGGTTAAAAATTAAAAGTACAAAAACCCCTGAGGTTAAGTAGCATGGCTAGAAAATCTAACTAGAGTTTCAAGCTTGTGTAACTCACCGACATCTCACGTCGAAAACCCTAGAACGAAAAATGTCGTAGGTGGGTGAGCTCAGTGTGCGCAATGACTTGGAGGGATAGCTGATGTGCCCCCTTACCACATGACTTTAGGTAGAAATTTAAAATGTCTATTTTATCTTTGACGTTCACTTGCCCCTCGAAGGACATGGAGTGCCAAAGAGGGCAACTGTAGACACATCATTTTAAATTTGACAAGTTCTATGGTTTTTTTAACCCTTAGGACCACATTATCTTAGTAGACCCAACTTAATTACCCCAAAACTACCCAAATCCTATCCCAATTTGAAGTAGAGCCCAAGATCTTTCCAACGGTCTAAGAATCGCCTGAATCGGACCTACGGATAAAATGATATAATGAATGACAATTTAGTCCCTATGAGACCCAACTATCGAGCCGCAGGCGGGGCTATAACGGGCACGATAAGCCCAGACAGGGGCTGATGATGTAGGCAACGCATCTGATGATGTAGTAAACGTGTTTTCTTTAATTAGATAAAGGTTAAAATTCAAGATAACTCCAAAAATTTTTGAAAAAACTCCAAAAAGTTTAGAAAAAATCACCAATTGAATCTTATAAATACCCCTTCTCCCTAAACCCAAAAAGAGAGAGCGCAAGAGACTAAAAAAACTTTAGAAATTCTTGAAATTCGGAAAATTACCAAAAAATTCCAAAAATAGGAAAAACCCTTGGAAAATTTCTAAAACGTTTGAAAAAAAATCCCAAAAAATTAGAGAAAATCTCAGAATTCATATTCAACCAATGGAGATCACGAAACCCTTTGAAAACTAAGGAAATTCTCCTCCAGATCCTGAGAAAGATCGACAGCTTTAGAAAAATCACTAGATTGAAAACCCTAAAGAAGATATAAACCCTAGCCTCCTGAAGTCTTAACCCCCAAGATTGAGAAAACCTAGACTTAGGGCACAAAAACCTTAGATCAAAACTAGAATTTGGGCACAACAACCCTATATCTAACCCTTTACATCAGAGATCTGCTGGTCAACATCCAAATTAGAGAGGCAAAGAGGACTGGTTTTGATACGGGCGAGTCATCGAAAGCTTGGGAATCCCGAGCCATCCGGCCCGGTTTGGTATTATTTCTTCCTCTCTCTTTCTTCTTCTTTTTATTGTTTTTATTCTTTTATTTATTTTTGGTTTGTTAACTTGTCTTAAAAATTGTATTTTAATACTCTAGATCATGCTAGCTCTGTCACATATCTAAGAGTAGATCTGCTCGTTTCCAGGGAAATCTGGCCTATGATCTGAATTCGATCTATCTCACTTTCTCTACCACTTTATTTACATCTTTTAATTAGTTTAAGGTGTTAAAATTCGAGAGATCTTCATCGAAAGATTTGTCAAATTTTCATCGTAAACAATTGGATATGCTACTTTTCTTTCTATTTTTTTATTGGATATGCTACTTGTTAGTACATATATTAATGGTCTTTGTTTTTAGTGTTTGTTCCACTTTTAGTCATTTCACGATATTAGCGCACATATATTGGATATGCCACTTTTCTCTCTCTTGTAGTTATTTTTTGATGCCAATTATGAAAATAGAATTAGCAATGCAAGACCCAGGACAACTAAGAGGCTCAAGGGAGCTATCCTCTTCATCAGGTCAAAGGCAAGAGGTACGATGATCTATTTGTTTTAGTTAATGATTTATATTAATTAAGTATTTCTCATGTTATTGACTATTATCATTTCTTGTTAATTTTAATTTTAGCAGAGAATAATCATTTTAGTGGGTCAGTGACCTTATGACATGTATTTCTCACTATCTTTATTATTTATATTTACAATATTATAATTTCTTTGGCTTTTTACTTTTTGCATTTTCTACAGTGTTGGATCTATGAGCATTTTCGAGCTCTAGCCACCAAGCCTACATTGATCATCAACCCAAGAATGCCTAAGGCTTACATGTGGAAGAAACACGCATGCAAAAATGTCTCATTTGATATGGTTAGTGATTGGCTTGTGTGCTTATAATCTAGTAGATAACTTGTTGTTAATGTCTCATGCTTTTCCTTGGCTTGTTGCTAATGTCTCATGCGTATTTTTGTAGGTGACTTGGCAATCGTATGAGAAGTCGCATGAAATTGCAGAGTACTTCATGTGTCGATCATACCTCATAAGTTTCAACATTGCAGAGTACTATATGCCTAATCGTGTGTTGCGACAATTTGGGAAGAGGCTAATATTCCTGTTATGCCACCCAAGTGGGATTGGAGGGAGAAAGTCGGTATACACCCCACAAATTGGACTGAAGAATTAGGCAGGCAGATAAAAGATTGGAAACAACGACAACGTAATGTAGTTAAGGCAGCCTTGGATAAATCTGGTGGAGTACCTACAGAAGAGTACATGGTCTGGTACAATCGCATGTACAACCGCCTGTCGCAGCACAGTCGCAATCGCAATCGCATGTACAACTCGTCGCAGGCCATGATGACAAGAGGAGATTGGTATACCATTTATTATATGTATATTCTTATTTTATTGTCTTAATATATCTTAAATTATGAAAAATATATCTAATGGTCTATTTTGTTTATTTTCATTCTCTACTTGTAGCGACATACATGTATAGAGATGCTACAAGTTGCACTTAATGGTGAAGTATAAGCCAGAAAATCTAGGCGTTATGTACAGGCGGCTCATGATCTGCTATTGAATAGCACTTCTGTAGAGACAGGTGCCGAGAAGACAGCGGGACTGAGGGTGGAGAAGTGGAAAGTGAAAGTGAGGAGGACGATGATAGTGAAAGAGAAGAAGAGGATGATGACGGAGAAGATGATGATGACAAAGAAGAGGATATTGAAGGTCACGATGATAGTGATAGCGCGAATGAAAATGAGAGAAGAACAAAGAAAAAAGATGATCACTTTTAAGTGCCAGCGTTGCAAGAGAAATCGAGGTGGAATTTGCGATCGCAAAGAGGATGATGTACTTTTTTTTTTTTTTTCTTGGAAATGTATATTTAAAACAAATGTTAAGCAAAAAACATGACTCATATTGATTTTGATGCGACATTCATTTGTATTTTTGGATTTGTTCGATATGTTTGAAACAAATGTTTGTTATTTTGTTAATGATCATCTTTATCTTAATCTTTTGCATATGAGTTTTTGACCTAGATATATGATGGCTTTGTCAATGCTTTGTTTCAATTATGAGGAAGTCATCAAGTTGGAGATGGTATATTTTTATGACAATGTGACTTGGTTACCTGATGCAGTTGCTTTCATCATATGGAAGTCATTTAATGGTTGTTGTTGCTTTGGTGAAATCCATTTGCCACCAAAGGCAAATAAAGATATGCAATGGTAGTTGTTGCAATGGTAGTTCATCATATGCAAGTCTTGCAATGGTAGTTGTTGAAATGATGATAGGTATTGGCTTAAGAGAGGAAGGATTTAGCAATGAAATCCATCTGCCACCAAGGGCAAAAGGACCAAAAAAAAAAAGAAAAAAGAAAAAAAAAAGAAAGAGGGTTGAGGAACACCGCTCCTACAGTAGCAGAAGCCGCCCTGGCAGTGAGTGCTCTGAAGCCACAGCGCTCCGGCACTGGGTAAATGCGCTTCAGCATTGGGGACAATCCGCTCCGGCACTGGGGACAACGTACTCTGGCAGTGAGTGCTCTGGAGCCACAACGCTCTGGCAATGGGTAAAAGTGCTTCGACACTGGGGACAATGCGCTCCGGCACTGGGGACAATGCACTCCGACAGTGAGTGCTCTTGAGCCACTGAGCTCCAGCAATGAGTAAAAGTGCTCTAGCACTGGGGACAACGTGCTTCGGCAGTGCGTGTTCTAGAGCCACAACGCTTCGATAAGGGGTAAACACGCTCCAACACTGTGGACAGCGCGATCTGACAATGGATAAATGCCCGTCGACAGTGGGTGTTCTGGAGCCACAACGCTCCGGCAATGAGTAAACATGTTCTAGCACTGTGGACAACATGCTCTGGCAATGGGACAACGTGCTCCAGCAGTGAGTGCTCTGGAGCCATAGCGCTCAGGCACTCTCTTAGCTCGCTTCGACGGTAGGTGTTTTTTAGACTCTGGCTTCGACAGTATGCTAAGGCGCTCCGGCAGTATGTGTTTTTAGACACAGCTCTTTGGCAGTTGCATGCTACACTCCGACAATAGGCTACTTGGGTCGGATAGTCATGTATGCTGATTTTTTTTGTACGATAAGGGCATTTTTGTCTAAAAAAAAGAATTTTTACCTTAGGGGTTTTTGCATAGAAAGTGTATTTTGAGGAAACAAGTGAGAGGAAAGATTAGCTGGGTAAGTTGCATAAATAGTGCATTTTGGGGGATTTTTTTGTAATTTTCCAAAGAATGAAGCTTAGGGTATTCCCTTAGGATGGGCAAAACAGGGATTTTTAAGCCTAGTGCGTTAAAAAGTTTGGAGGCTCAAAGGGCTTCCCTCGCTTTGTTACTAATAACCTCATTCTTCGCATTTCCTTGCCTCCCTTACTGACTGAAAGAGAAGCTCATTTTTCCCTCCCTCTCGCCTAAAACTCTTTCTTTTCCCTCTCTCACTAAAACCTAAAACCTTTTTGCACGATTTCCTTCTTCATTACTCGTTATTGGCTTTGGGGCTTTTCTAGTTTTGAGCCTCTTTCAAGCGTAAGAAACCATTGATATCAAGCAAAAACAGGTAAAGTTATTACTGCTACCTGTGGATACGAGATATGGGTTTTTTGTTGTTGATTGAAGAGAGAGGGAGATATTGTCGTATGCTAATGAGAGATGTAATCGTTAATGTTTTTTTCAAGAGCAATTGAGTTTTTTGGGTTTTTCCTATTCAAGAAAATAAAGAAATTTATGTCTTACTCTGTGTCCATGATTCATTGTAGTTCCATTCTAGTTCTACCGACTTTAGTTTTTTTTTTTCTTGTGTGTTTGGTTTTTTTTTTTTGTTTTAATTTATTTATTTATTTATCATATACCTTTTTTTAGTTAGATACCTTGTTTGTATCGTGTTGTGGTTTGGACAGCCCTGAAAACAGGGTTAAGCTTGGAGATATTCATTCAAAACACTAGGATTTATTTGAGCACTAGTCCGGTTTCCGCTCGCCATGTGCTTGAAGAAATGATATAAAGAGATAGTCAAACAGGTATGAAAGGATATATATAAGTAAAAAGCCAGCTATGCCTCTATCGGGTTCTCTCAAAACTCCTTTTCTCCTTTTTTTTTTTGGCATAAATCTTCAAGAGTATGTATTGCATTTAATTTATTGATTAGAAATTTATAGTTTGATTTCACCTAACAGTGCTGTAAATTGAGTTTGTGAGGCAAATACTTCAATTTATGCCCTATGAAATTTCATGTTCTGTGAAGTTTTGTTTATTGAGTGTAATTACCATAGAAAATATTTAGTTCAACACTGGCTGTTGCGGCTGGCTGCTACCCCGTTCAAGTTTGCCATATTTTAATTTGGTTGGGTACAACTTCTAGCGAAAATGATTTGAGTTCTCTTTTCAATTTGAATAGTAGAGAGCTTGAATCGATTTGTCCTTAATCTTTTCCCCAGAAATGCAGTTGGAATTTGAGGCTTTTTATGATTTCCATTATTGTAACAGTTATTGATTGAGAACCATGATCTTGCATTTGTGAGTTCTTGCTTGATTCCAAATTGTATATGCAACTGTGTAAGTTGAGGATGCTTCACCAGCGTCACAGTAACCCCTTCAACATTTTGGCAATCTCACTCGGTATCACACTAACCTCTTTAAGTAAGGATGCATATTCTAGCCTAAACATACTCAAGCCTAAGTGTTTCAAGTCCACCTTTTGCTGATTTGACTGTTTGCTCCTGCAAAGGCAACAATAACATGACCTACTGCACCTCTGTTGTCTCTGTGGTTCTAGCGAAAGGAACCATGAGATCTTAGAAAAACATTGTCAATGTCATTGAGAAATTTTCTTCCTATTGTTTCAGTTTTTTCATTTTTGTACCAAAATAAGGAAAGACATGCTGAAAATTAAGCATGCTTCTGATCCTAAAAGCGTTTCTGAAAAGTCTAGTTCTAGCAGCTTCAAGTAGATGTATGCTGTTCATTTTGGGCAACTCCATCCGGTTGAGGCTTTTATAGCATGTGTTGATGAGTAGTGATCTCATTCGCTGTTTGGAAATCTGTTTGAATTTCGAAGTTTATTGCTATATTTGCAGATTCTTTATTTCAAATTGGGGTCTATAGTTTATGTCCATTATTTGTTTGGTAGTTTGACTAAGTAGAGGGACACATTTGCTGGTGGGAAGTGTTAATGTGTTTTTCTTTTTAATTTTATATATATATATAAAGTTTTCTTCTCTTGCTTAAGATTTAAGAGTAGATGTCTAGCTTATTAAATGAGGGGCTTTTCTTAAATCCAGAATGATGCCCACAGCTTCAAGTCATATGCATTGTAATAGGCCTGGTAATATGGGAGGTTGAGAAAGGGATACAAATCGAATCCATATTTGTTTGGTTCAGGTGAAAAGAGAGTGGGAGCAGTGGGGAAGTCAAAATGGGCGTTGTTTAACTTTAGAATTGGACTGCTTAAATGGGTAGTATCTGTATTTCCTTTTGCTTTCTCTTCCTTGGATCTTTCTTGGGGAAGAAAGGAAGAAAGAAGATAGAAGATTGACAGGCCGCACATTATCGCCTCAATTGATTAAGCATGGGATAGAACTCCATACTGATACTTTGATAATAAATAAATAAAAAAGACTTGAAGGGATAAACAGAGCATTGTCATCAACTTCCAACTCTTGGATTTGTTGGAGTGTAAAAAACCAGGTCCTTGTATTTATATAGCTTATTGCATTCATTTCTATTGCTTTGTCTCCAGCAATTAGATCAACTTAAGTGACGATTTTGATTATGGAAATAGATAGGTCGGAAAATTTTAGTTATGCAATAGCATAGATATGTCCTATGTTAAATAAGTTTATGACGATTGTATCTGAAATTGTATTTGAAATTTTAAATTTCAATGATGAGGTGGTATCTAAATTCTTTGACCCTGCTAGTTCAATTATGATTTATGATTGACTTAGTTTTTTAGTTTTTTTTTGTTTTTTGTTTTTGTGTTATGAAGTATTTTGCTTTTGCATTTTTTTTGTTACTTGGAGATATTGAAGTTTGTTCCCAATTAAAGCTCGCTCCATAATCAGTAGGAGGTCTCATAACGGTGACCATCTTATTGAAGTTATAGACTTTTGTCTTGGACTTCTACCTACCCCATAGGAATGCAGTTTATGTAATTTAATCGTGTTGCTTATGTAGCTTGTGTAATTTTACTTTGTTATGCCATTTTGGAGTTTTCTTTGTTATTCACAAGATGGCTCGAACTTCCTACCTAGCCCATAGGAATGTAGTTTATGTAATTTAATCGTTGCTTATAGGCTTGTGTAATTTTACTTTGTTATACCTTTTTCTCCTAAGCTTGCTTAACTGTGATATTATATCTTCTGGTTCAATACATTAAATGACTGATTGAGCAAAGGTTTTATTCCAAGCATAGAAATTCTCTCTTTTCATTATATATATTGAGTTAGTTCATCCTAATAATTTTAGTGTAGTCTTCGAGTAAACATTGTGGTAGTAACACAGAATATCCCATCCTTGCCAGATGTCATCAAATCTTGAGTATTCACCTAGTTTGGATTCTGAGTTTATGCCTAGGCAATGACACTTATGAATGTTCCTTGGACTCATTGGTGCCAGAAACCATGGAAGGTTTAGAGGAGAGGAACATTGAAGGAAGGCCACTTGAGTGTGGTGAGCAAGTGTAGAGATAGGATCAGAGGCGACATATAACATACAGTGGTTTGACCAACCTCACCATATTCGTCAGCATGTCCTCGAGGTTCAGGTAGAGATTTGCCCTCATTTATTGTTATTTCATTTTCTAATGATTTTTTTTTTTTTTATTATATATACTCTTTGCTCCTCTTTTCTTTCATAATAGTGACTTAAAATTGTGGGTTTTCTTGGGTAGGGTTTGTAGGTGGTTCGACACCACTTGTATAAGTGGCTGAGCATCGTTGAACCCCAGGAGTAACCTACTTAGCTGCTCAAGATCCTCAAGGATGTTTAGGTAGTGTAAGTTTATTCTGCCCCCTTGTGTATTAACAAATAAGGTCGATCTGAAAACCATAAGAAAAAATGCTCCGATTCTAAAATCCTTTTTCCTCTTCAGAGTTCGGTCTAACATTGGGTTTGTAGACACTTAATACCTCCTCATACCGAACTTCATATTTCTTCCCCCCAGTTTTTTCAAAACCTAGTAGCTCCTTGAATTTTCCTAGGGCTGCATTACTGCTTCCAAGATACACATGTTTACCTGTCAACCTTAGACATAGTATTCTCACTACATCCTCTAGAGTGGGGGTCACTTCTTTCATAATAGTGACTTACAATTGTGGTTTTCTTGGGTGGGGTTTGCAGGTCGTCCGACGCTTAAAGAGCCACTTTAACCCATCCATGTGGCAGAAAACCTCTGAACACTTGGGGGAACTACGTCTTCGATTGGAGAGTTATGGGTTTGACCTTTTCTGCAGGATTAGGTTTAAAAAAGTAGACTTAAGACAGATCGAGCACATATGTATGAGATGGAGGCCTGAAACCCATACCTTCCTGTTTCTTATTGGAGAAGTGACCCCTACGCTAGAGGATGTAGTGAGAACACTAAAATTCAAGGAGCTACTAGGTTTTGAAAAAACTAGAGGGAAGAAATATGAAATTCGGTATGAGGCGCTATTAAATGTCTACAAACCCGATGTTAGATCGAACTCTGAAGAGGAAAAGGATTTTAGAATCTGAGCCTTTTTTCTTATAGTTTTCGGATCTAACTTATTTGCTAATATACAAGCGGAATAAACTTACGCTACCTAAATATCCTTGAGGATCTTGAGCAGCTAGGTAGTTACTCCTGGGTTTCAGCGATGCTCAGCCACTATATAAGTTGCTTAGACGATAGAGTTCTTATGGGTCATTCTTACCTTAGAGGGTGTGTGGGGTTCCTCATGGTAAGTGTAGTTAACTTGTTTTCTCAGATTTATCTTTCAGGTTCCTCTTTTCCTTTCTCTTTTTTGGCTATGTATCTAGGTTTATGTTTCGTCTTCTTCTTTTGTTGTTTTTTTTCTTTGTTGTTTTTTACAGTTATGGAGCTTTGAGTACATAGCCATATGTCGCCCTATCTAGAGGCCTGAGAACAAGGAATTCAAACCCCGAGGTGCCAGGTGGAATGGTTGTGCAAAGAGGGACATGCCCGGACATACTTCCACAGTGCATTGGGACCAATCTGACAAGCTAACTGAGGAGCAGGTCAATACTACATTTGTACTTTCCTATTTATTAATTCATTTATCTTGATTATCGTGTACGATCTTTAATTTCTCTGATTTGGGTTGCCCTTTTTTTTTTAGTTTACTTGGCACCCTTATGTTTGCTAGGCAGACTATGGTATGATGAGGACAACACGTGTCTATTGACGTGCCCAGGTCAATCTTATATTAGAAGACTCTCTGCAAGGCTATCATCGCGTCTTACAACAATTCGGGTTCGCTCAAGATGTCCCAGCATTTGTTCCCCATAGGCCTGTTGATAAGATGGAGGGGGACTTCTTTATGCAAGTGAGCTTCTTCAGAGGGCGCGAGCATCTGAATTTTGTGCAAATGGAAGGTGTTGGAGTGACACCTTCTTTTAGATCTTGGTTAGAGGGGGAAAAAGTGAGGAATCTCAGACTTTTAGGGATGCAAGCGATCGGATGAGATTCGAACTCAAAGATAATGGTGCATAATTATCTGCAAGAGGATCTTCATATGCTACTGGATTATCTGAAGAAGCGAGCCCAAACAGATAAAGGGCTAGGGTCTTGAATTCGTTAACTTGGTAAGCTTCCTTGAACTTTAATTTAGCATTTTTATTTTATATGTTTCAGGAATAGTTGTGTGTCACGTTATGGTTATTTGACAGAGTTCACAAGAGAGTAAGGCTCGCCTAGATACAACATTGAGAGATCTGAATTCTGCCAGAGAGGAGATCGAGGCCCTTAAAAGGCGCCTTAAGCGGTGTGGCGAGGTTTCGAGTAATTCACCCATTCTTAATCTATCTCTCCTTCTTCTTCTTCATCTTCTCCTTCTCACTTCTCATCATGGCATTTTGACTTACTTCTAGGCCGATCATGGGATCGAAAGCACACACAATGGTCTGAAGTTGAGAGCTTGAATATAATCCCTGAAGTCCTAATTGAGAATCCTCAAACTGGCAAGTATAACAGTATGTCTTTCATATGGTTTTTGCTAGCTGTAAATGGGTAAGTGATAGGGCATTATGTATGTCTTTATGGGTTTTTTAGGTGTTACGGCAAAGAAGAAACAATGATGGTAAACAAGAGCGAGAGAGAGGTTTAGAGAGAGAAGTTTAGTAAATATGTTGAGTCTTGGGTTGGTTAGAGCACCTGTTTGGCAAGCAGGAGGCCTTGAGTGAACCCATGGGTAAGTAGGGAAAGATAACAACTGCTTGGGAGAGAAAAGCTAGTGATGGAAAATAATGGTGGCTAGAGTAAGAAAACAATTGCTAGTGAGAGAAAACAATATCTAGAGAGAGAAACTAGTACGGAGAGGTTGAGAACAATATGTAGAGGGAGATTGTACAATAATTTAGAGAGAGAACAATATGTAGAGTGAGAAGACAGTAATTTGAAGAGAGACAATAGTGTGAAGACAACAATTGGAGAGAGAAAACAGTATATAGAGAGAAAATAGTGTGGAAACAGCAATTAGAGAGAGAACAGTAATTTAGAGAGACCAATAATTTAGAGAGAGAGAACAGTTTGTAGAGAGAAAATTATATGTAGAGAGAAAAAACTGCATGTAGAGAGAAAAACAATAATTTAGAGAGAAAAAACTGCATGTAGAGAGAAAAACAATAATTTAGAGAGAGAAAACTGTATGTAGATAGAAAACAATATGTAGAAAGAAAATTAGAGAGAGAAAACAGTAATTTAGAGAGAGAAAACAGTATGTTGAGATTAAGGATTAAGAACAATATGTAGAGTATGTTTATAAGGGAAAGCAAGAATGTATCAGTAGTGGGAGAAGAGAGGGTGAGGGTGAGTGATAATACCCTGAAGTGTCTTCCTTTCGTTGGCTAGCAGGCCTATAACTAGGCTTTCTTGCTTTGGACGATATAGGTTGTTATATTGCAACCCCTTTTTCCATTTATTTCCTAGTCTTTTTTTCTGGTAGAAACATCAAGGTTAGAAGAGGTTGAAGAGGAAATATAAAGCAATTAAGGGGGAACTCCAAGGGAAAGATAATAAGGTTGGTGAGCTATCGGCCTGCTTGGATCTAAGGAAAGAGTTGAGATCTGCTTCCTGGGGTACTCAGTCTAACAGAACACGTAAATAGTGTTTTCCAAGTGTGAAGAGAGCTCTTGATGCTGTGCTTCATGCCCGTGTACCGCGGAAGAAGGGGAGGACGGAAATTAATGAATATTTTTCATTAAATTTTTTTGCCATCAGTTCTTGTTCTTCTCTTTGCTCGTCTCCTGCCTCTTTTTACTGTATATGCTCTTGTAGGGTGTTTCCATGATCTTTACAAAGGAGCTTTTGCTCTCCTTTCTTGTACATAGTCTTGTAAGGTGTTTCTGTGATCCCTGTAAGGAAGGCATTTTGACTCGTATCAATAGAAGTAGTCTTCTTTTTTTTCTTCTTCTTATGTCATTGGATAAATTGCCTCTTGCGAATTTGATTGTGTTATGTATCTCTTCAAAGTATGTGAATAGGGATAAGCTCATCTCTTGGTTTTAGAAAACTCGTCATGGGCCTGAGGCCTGTTTTGACTTGTTTTGTAGAAACCCTTTTCATCATGGATGAGTGAGGTGCCATTTCAAGTCTAATGGAGTTATTTATTTATTTGTAATAAAAGGATATTTATCAAGATATTTAGAATTGGGTGCAGTTGGCATACCGATGCATGCATAGCTGTAGCGTTAAGGTGCACCTTCAAATTTTATCATGGTATATAATTTTGATGTAAAATGTTCTTAGGATTCTTAAAATCTATTTTTATATCTAATTATAAAATTTAAAATATAGTTAAAATCAAGTAGATCTATAAACGTATGAAAATCTTGAAAATGGACGGTGTAGATAATATGTTGTGAAATGCATTATTTTTTAGGCTTAAAATCTTTTTATTTTTCATGGTCATACATCGATGGACAATCAAAGGGCTTTTCAACATTAAAACTACCTTTTTCGATGGATTTTTGAGGTGCAATCGTAGTTCTACACTATAAGTTTGCATCATTATATAAACTTTTTCCTTTAGAAGTATGATAATATTATAATATTGAAATACTAAAATAGTACGAGCACGTAAATGCAAATTATGAAATGCTGAAAATACATGAAGTTGTTTGGTTTGGAAATAGCATGATAAAACGCTCACCCCCTACAAGTTTGGAGTGTTTCCTTGATTAAGATTGTTCAATGAACCTTTTACAGAAAAGAAAATGTTCTAACAGAAAACCTCCTAATTTTTTCTTTAAAAATCTCCTTTCCGCTTGTACAAAATTTCTTTTCAAGCTTCATCAATAGGACTGCAATACAAGAAGAATTAGTTTATTTTTTTGATCCCCCTCTTTTTTGGATACAAAATGGTAAAGATGCCGAGGGACCACATAACTCTATGTAACATTGCACATAGAAATTAGGGATCAACCACCATCTCCTCAAGACAGCTATATAGTTAACCATTAAAGGGTTCCAGAGTTCCTAGAAATGCTTTCCAGTTCTTTCGGGTTGTGCATGTGCAAGTGAATATGGAGGTCCTTAAGGTTTCCCTTAAGGCCTTTAGGGTCATGATTGGCTAGTGAGAGTGTTAGGAGAGGTGAGCCGATATTAAGAAAGCCATGTTGTTGGTTCAATTTTTGCCTAATGGCTTTTCTATTTAAGCCATCAATTACGTAGTGGAGAAAATGTTGTAGCTGTGAGCTATACCAGTCACCCTCCTAATGTTAGTTGAAATGATAGGAAACAGTTCATTTATTAAAAAAAACAAAAATCTTCTTAACTATATATATTATTATTATTATTATTATTTTTAAAAAAAACGAAAGATTACTCTTTTTTTGAAGGAAAAATAAAATGAATGACTAATCCACATTTTTTTGTTTTTTGGAAAATCGACCTTCCTCCTTTTTTTTGAAGAGAAAGAATAAGAGAAATAACTTGGCCCGTTCCCTCCCCCCCTCCCCCCACAGCCCTTTTTTTCAGAAATAAATAAGAGAAAAATTAATATAATAAGATGGTTCCATCAAACTGTCGATGGCACCCCAATCCCTTGTGTCAACAAAACTTTGTTATAATATTTACGCATAATATTTTCGGAGATGCATCACATTTATTGGCCTGGCAAATTCCTCTCCCTCTGAATTGATGAGACGGTATGCCCCCTTAGGAAGGACCTCAAAAATGGCATATGGACCTTCCCAATTAGGTCTAAATTTTCCCATCGGATGTGTTTGTGATACTCGTGTGAAGATTTTACATAAGACTAGGTCTCCGAGTTTAAACTACATTGGTTTCACCTTCTTTTCATATACTTTGGCTAGTCTTGTTTTGATAGCTTTGTGCATTTTCAAGGGCTTGAAAGAAAGACCTATGTAACCTTTTGTCGGGGAAATACATTTTTTTTTTAAAAAAAAAAAATAATAATCACCCCTCATAATTTTAGCAACAAGATCACTCACAGATGGTCTTATTACAAACAATAGAAATTCCAAAAATAAATAACACATCAATAAAATAAATCTTAACTATTTGATTCCATTTATACAACTTATTACTGTGCTTGAGAATATAAAATAAAAGAATTAACAATTAAAAGAAAAGGATGCCAGAAATTACATCAACTGGGCTTTTTACACCCTATACCGAGTCACCACATCCAATGGCGTGGGATCAGCGGTTTAGCTTCAATCTCGAACCGGGAAAGCTAATTTCGGCCAAACTAGGTAACCACCCTTAAATATCCATAAAACCCTAACTCCAAAATAATTAGGCTCAAACCCTAATTTTCCCAACCTTTAGATTAGATCATGAGATAGAGAGAGTCTCTATATTGAGGTGTGCCCCCTAAGGTCTTTTTAGGAGTGAGAGAGTAGAGAGAGAAAATCAGAGAGTAGAGAGAGAGGGGCATAGCCCCTAGGGAAGAGAGAGAGTTTATGGGAGAGAGAGAAGTGTGTTGAGATGGGGGGATAGCACTCCTATTTATAGTGAAATTTAGGTCTAGGGTTTCTTTAGGGTTTCCCATAGTTTGTCTCTATCTTGAGATTGAATATGGGCAGTTGATCAATGTGATTTATAGGGTGAGAGATCTGAGCCATCCATTCCATAAATGGGCCATCAATATTATGAAAGGTGCGTGAAGCATTATCCCCCTTTCCTTAAACCATTTTCCTCATCCATATATTTAAATAAATTAAATCCATTAAAGATATAGTGTATACC